TAAGTAACCGGTAGTTGAGACTTAAAATTTAATTCTAATTCCCTCGAAAAACAGATGATTTTAATCATAGATACATAAAAGTTTTTAACGGATGACCCACTAAGCAATTTTCTCCCAATTAAGGAAAAATTTCGTGAAGGTAACTACGCTAATTTGATTTTTACAATAGCCGTTACCGCAATGAACGTTTGAAGAACACGGTTACCGCAACAATTTAAGGCAAATCTTTCAAGAGCCAGACTAAAGACTGTTCCAATTAACAATTAATCGAACGACTAACTGTATCTGATCTCTGATGGCCTTCACGGCTTCTAAATTACTTTTGCGTAGAAAAGTCCGTTACTTCAATGACTCGGATTTGATCAATGAGTAATTTACGATTATTTTTATTTTTTGCTATTTTTGGTATTACACGGTGAGTGCACCTTCATTTTGTTTTACATGTACATGTTGTATACACTTTTGTATCGTAAACTATACCGGATTAATTATGCTATAAAACTTTTGTTTCTGATTTCAGTTTTCTTCTTTTACGGAGCATTTTTCCTTGAAACCTCCCTCTTTGTGATAACATTTTGTTTTTGGAGTTTATAAACCGTGGTCTAAAATGATTTCAATCAAAAGACTGATATTTTTTGTACACACTTATGACAAGTCGAAAGAAAATGTAAAAAAGTATTTTTGAAGTGTGTATATTTTAGGCAATTCCTAGCTGAGCGCTTTCGGCTTTACAAAGCCATCATTAGAGCTATGCTACAATAAAATGTTCTTATAAGTACTAATTGGTAAAGATTATAATTTTTAACTTACGTCAATTTTTAAATACCACTACAAAGGAGAGATCTCATTTCCTTATATTTCAAAATTATGATTTTTTTAGTTGTTGAAATTCTTAAAACATATAAAAAACATATAAAAAGCCGACACTGGACTTCACAAATACGTTAAAAAATTGAAAAAAATTTTTTTTTGTCATGGTACGGGTGTAAGAACCCGACCATTGATTGATGTGAGGAGGTAGACTGAATAGAACTAATGAAATCAAATGTCGGTCCTTTTAAACGATTTTTCAAAAGTGACAGTTGACAAATGTCATATATAGGAAATAGAGATTGTTTTTTAAATTCTTACAAAATTATTTAATAGTTTGGAATTACTAATAGTCATCAAAGACTTTCTAAAAATTAAGTTTTTAAATTAAATTTTATGTGTTCATCACATCATACAGAATGACATTAGTTTGTAAATTCACTCAAGTCATTGCTCAAGGTCAATGTATGTTCAATCTGACAGCCATCCTTAAGAAACAAGGGCTCAAATTGTTCAACAATAATATAAAGAAGAAACATGGTATTAATGTTACGTTATCTGATACTTAAGTGTATTGAGAATTGTATCTCTTGATGGAAATTTGTAAGAAATTTGATTAAAAAATTTTTTTAAGAAAGTATTTTCATGTTTCAATTAAGAATAACTGTCAAATGAATTACAAAATGTTGTAAATTTCTAATAAAGTTTAAAATTTGTTTAAAAATATAAAAGTATGAAAAATATATAATAAGATTGCATGAGGTCACCCTTCTTCCTCTAAAGTCTCCCATAATAATTTAAAAAGAGGTTTATAATTGCAATTGAGGTTGATTTGTGTGTTTAAGCAACAATCAGGGTTTAGTTTCATTTCTTTGGATATCTCAAGATCTTCCAAGAGATTCATGAGTCTAAAGTTTTTATTGGGAATGTTGTGTAAAATTTTACTGTTTTTCAGAAGGAGAAAAGGAATGATTATTAAATTTAATGTGAAATCACATAGATCACATAATCCCATATTATTTCTTCTCTATATGGTCCTAATGCATCTTGGGTATGTTCATCTCTTGCACCCACTCGATTATTTAGATTCCCTAGTACTATTATAGTATTGCCGCCTTCTAAACTGTCTATTATTTCTGAGACCATATCCCAGAATAGGTCTTTGCTAGCTTGTCTTTTGTCGTCATTTATTCCAGACATAACGATGATATTGACTAGTTTGTTATCTTTAGAATTCTTTCGGAACTGTATTCCGAATCTTGAATATTCTTTATTAGGTTACTGTGTATCAGGCAGCCTACCCTTGTTTTGCCCTTTCGCCAAGTGACACACCACTGGTGATGAGGAAGTGTCCATTTTCTAAAAACTGTGTGTTTTTTTTCTTCTTTGTGGTCTCTGTTATTCCCAGTAAGTCTATTTGATTTTTCTCAAATTCTTCAGCAACTTCGACTTCTTTGCCGTTGAGACCTCTGACATTCCATGTTGCTACTGTCCATCCTTTGGGCTTTAGCACTGCTCCGTTATTGTGGACCGTGTCATTAAGCTCTTTCTTGTTTAATGTGGGTTTTAAATAGTTATTGTTTATATTCTCGCTCGTGCTGACTGCATTTTTATGGGTTTACCTTTTCTTGTCTCTCGTTGCTCACGTCCTTGGCCATTATTTATGGATCTATATTTGTCTTTACTACCTATTCTATAACTACTTATGTCCATTGTCATTGCCTGGTTGGTCATAGTATTTTCGGCACATTTGTTTACTAGTTCTTTGTCCCCATTTTGACTAGTTTGTTCTCTTTGTTGCTCCATTTCCAGCCGACCTTGTTGATCCATATTTTATTTCCACCAAGTCTTACATCCTTTCCTCTCTTCTTTTCTTCTGGCGCAAGTTTTCTAATTGTTTTCTGAATTTCTCTCTCTTTATTCGTAGTATCATGATTGATGTATACTTTTCCTTCTTCAACATGTCTTAGTTTACGTTTATAAAAGAAACATACCAATCAATATTATACAAACCATACAGGCAAAGATAAATAGAAAGCTAACACAGTGTAAAGAGAAAAGATTAATAAAGAGAAGAGAATTGAAAAAATGGAGTACGCCAGAAAACACAAAAGAATATGTGAAAGCTGTAAATTGGGCCTTCAACCACCCTCTTTCGACAGATGTTGAAACTGTAAATAATGCAATCACAGAAGCGTTAATGACTGCACAAAAACAGTACTGTGCTAGACCAGCCGGAAAAGAAGAGAAACTGAGCGAAAACACCAGAAAGCTCATTAAAGAAAGAAAAATCAAACAGAGCATCATCAAAGCAGAGCAGATCAAACATCATCAGAGCAGAAAGGCGACTCAGCTGAACTCAGAAATCGGAACAGGGATATCTCAAAAGCAATTCGTAAAGATCAGAGGAAGTATAATACTGAGAAAATACAAAATGTGATTGAGCAAAATGGAAATATGAAAATACTCAGAAGAAAGCTTTGTGATGGTAAAAAGGAAATTGTTAAACTAAAAGACAAGGAAGGTAATGTAACAACAAATAGAGAGAGAATAGTAGAGATAGCAAAAAGCTTCTATGAAGAATTATACAAAAGCCAGTTAACAGAAGAAGACAAAACACAAATTAGAGAACGCAGAGTAATGAACCAAGGATCCGAACTTCTGCCTACCATAACGATAGAAGAAGTGAAACGAACTCTAAAGGAAATGAAAAACAACAAGGCTCCGGGAGATGACCAAATAGTAATAAAAGCTGTTAAAGTATGAGGCAAGAAACTGCTGGAAGTAGTAACTGAACTATTCAACCTATGTCTAAACCAAGGTATTGTCCCTACAAAATGGAACAATGCAATTACTATCCTAATACACAAAAAAGGAGATATATCAGACCTAGAGAATTATAGACCGAAGTCTGCTGTCACATCTCTACAAATGGTTTACCAACATCATCACAAAACGTTTAGAACGAAAATTAGATTTCTATCAGTCTAAGGAGCAAGCTGGGTTTAGGAAAGGTTATGGAACAAATGACCACCTACAAGCACTTAAAATACTAATTAAAAAATGTGTTGAATATAATAAACCACTCACGTTGATTTTCATAGACTTCAAGAAAGCTTTTGATACCGTGGAATTACCGGCAGTATTAGGAGCATTAGAACAAAGCCGAGTAGACTATAAATATACAAATTTGATAAAACATATATACAACAACGCAACAGCATCTGTTAAACTCCATGACTTTACCGATAAATATAGAATTGAGCGAGGAATTAGACAGGGCGACACCATCTCCCCCCAACTATTCACTGCAGCTCTGGAATATGCCTTTAAAAAACTAGATTGGGCTAAAAGGGGAATAAATATTGATGGTGAATACTTAAGCCACTTGCGCTTTGCAGATGATATTGTCATTATACCCGAGAGTTTAAATGAAGCTCACAAAATGATGGAAGAACTAAAACAGGCAATAGAACAAATAGGCCTGAACATAAACTTTGAAAAAACAAAATACATGACCAACTTAGTTCCAAGTGATGTTATGAGGGTAGATGGGAACGAAGTACATCAGGTCTTTAGCTATATCTATTTAGGGCATGAAATTAGAATAGGAAAAGACAATCAAACTTGTGAGATCCAGCGTCGCATAGGCTTGGGATGGGCAGCATTTGGCAAGATGCGAGATATTCTAAAAGGAACGCTACTGATTTGCTTGAAGGAAAAGGTTTACAACCAATGCATACTGCCAGTAATAACATATGGTTCCGAAACAATAACTTTAACCAAACATTCTGCAAATAAATTGAGAGTAACCCAAAGAAAAATTTCCATTTTTCTTTGGGTTACAGAGCAATGTTGGGAATAACTAGAAGAGATATGGTACCAAATAGGATAGTGAGAGAGAGGACTAAGGTGACAGATGTCATAGAAAAAATTGCACAAGCCAAATGGAGATGGGCTGGACATATAGCACGTTTAAATGATAATAGGTGGACCAAAAGACTCATAGAATGGAGACCTAAAGAAGACAAAAGACACCGAGGCAGACCACCAAAAAGATGGATGGACGACTTGAGAAAAACAGTCGGAAATTGGATACAGAAGGCGCAAGATAAAGAACAGTGGAAGAACATGGAGGAGACCTATATCTAACAGTGGATGCAAGAGGTTGAGGAATGATGATGATGATGATGAACACAGTGTATACCAGTACAAAGGGGAGACAGGGTGACTCGTTAAGAAAGTACGTAAAGGTCATGGTTACAGAATGGGGAACAAAGAAATCGAAATATTATGTTGTGCAGACGACGATGCGTTAATTGCCGAGATAGAAGACGAGCTCGAAAGATTAACACACATCTGCAATACAACAACTAAGAAATACAATATGATAATATCAGCAGAAAAAATCAAATGTATGACATCTAAATACCCACTACGATGTAAAATCGAAATTGATGGGAAAATAATAAAGCAGGAAGCCAAGTTTAGATATATGGGAATAGATATAACTAGTTACAGAGATGTTGAAGAAGGAGTACGACAACAAAGCTTAAAAGCAAGTAAAGCGGCGGGATCTCTCAATGACACAATCTGGAAGAACAAACACCTAAGAAAAAACACAAAAACAAGAATCTATATAGCAGCAATTAGACCTATATTAACATAGACGGCGGAGACAAGACCTGACACATCTAAAACGAGACGACGACTAGAAACAAAAGAGATGAAAATACTCCGACGAATATCAGGGAAAAGTTTGTTGGATAGGGAGAGAAGCGAAAACATAAGAAGAGCATGCAATATAGATGACATAAATAGATGGGTGACAAAACGGAAACGGCAGTGGAACGAACACATTTGTAGAATGGCAGAGGATAGGATAGTGCGAATAGCATGAGATAAGTCACCAAATAGACGAAGAAGTATTGGAAGACCAAGAAAAAGATGGTGCGATAATTTAAACAATTTAGGAGGCTAATATTGAAGAAGAAACAGACTTTAAAGCCTACATAAAGAAGGAAGAAGACAATATTGAAAATATTACACTATAATCTAAAATTCTAAAAAAAATACGCTGTAGTCATGCAGCCCTCGTGTACTTGCATATTAGATAAATAATAAAATAACTTTATAATTTCTGTTTTCGATATCATCTAAAATCTTCTGCGGTTGTTGTCACGGATACAATATTTATTTGATAATTTAAATAAATAAAATGTATAACTTTAGATAAGACGTTATACAACGTTAAGCAGAAGTTACCAACAAGTAATTATGGTTCTTTAATTAAATAATAATATTTGTTTTGTAAGATAAGTGTACAAACAATCAATATTTTTGTGTTATTCTAAGTAGATCAAATATTTGCATTCCAAGCAGTACAGTCGATTATTCAAGAGAATATTATTTCAATATCGGGAATGTAAATGGATTGTTAAATGTTTATAATCGATCAAAAATAAAACAGGAAAGCAAACAAGAATATGATCTCAAGTTCTCGTTATTTTTAATGGATTTTTAGTCTATAGACGAAGTAAAATGTATCTTTCAAATTATTTTATAAAACTCAAAAAAAGCGGAACAAAAATAGATTTATGTAGAACAAAACTGGAAATTCCAAAAGCAATTTTTACCAAATTCCAAAAGGTCTACAATTGATCAGATTTTTACTATGAAACACATAAGGCTGTTTTCGCAGTTATAGCATACTGCGATTTGAAGTGGGCGTATCACTTACTTTTCTACACTGCTATGTCAGACCCTACGTGACTTCCTAATAGTTTGGATGTTTATTCAGAGGCGCCGGCCCACGGGTTGTTTAAAATAAATGCATTATTCTCCATTCAAATCAGTTTTGTCGGAATACTTTTTTTTAGATTAATTATCGTAGATAATGTTTTAAAAAGAATTAATCACATTTTTAATTTATATGTCTTAGCTAAACATAGTATTAAATAAAAATTTGTGAAACGTGACTGCAAAAAACACCATGGTGTTTATTTATAATAAATTTTTGTTATATTAATATTAATATATAATTAATATTTTGTTAATATTTGTTAGAGAAAACTGATATTAGCGTAGTAAAAATTAAACAAAAAATATTTTTATTTATCTATAAAAAATTGGTACCTGCGAAACCATCATAATAGTAAATGTATTTATCTGGCAAGTATTTCGAGGCGACGCACTGCGAGGAAAAAGTTCTCTGAATGGAATATACATTATTTTAATATATTTATAGGTTGCAGTTACATAAGAAAAGTATCCAATTGATGAATAAAACACAAATCGTGGATAGTTATTTCATCATATCAGTGGCATTTCAGCTCGTCATGAGCCAAAGGCTTATTCAGAACAATCTTCCATTCGCCCCTGCCTCTGGCAACTTTCTCCATGCTTTAACTCCGATGGATTTTAGATCATCCTCTATGTTATCTTGATACCTAAGTTTTGGTCTTCCTCTGGATCGTCTTTCCACTGGTCCTCTTCGGTCGAAAATTTTTCTGATAGTTTCATCTTCATCTCGCCTAATTACATGTCCTATCCATCAAAGGCGTACTAATTTAATAAATTTTACAACGTCAGGTACTACACCTGAAGAAGCATCGTAGTTTACTTTATACGATCTTTTTGACCAAGCACCATCAGCTATAACGGTTATTAACTCATTTCCGTAGGAATCTACTTCACCAATTTCTTTGGCTAAAGCTAATTCCTCCCGTCCAGCCTCTTCAAAGGAATCACAAAGTGTTTGGCCGATGATATCTGCAACTGTTTCCGTATGTTTTGCATACTGCCTGTAGGAAATCACAGGTATATTTAATGCAGCGCGCTGCTGCTGTATGTCTGAATAACCAGAACCATTGAAGTTCAGTGAATTGTTACCAGAATCCTATGTTGCTATCTCCTTTTCAATATTTTACATTTGACATTTAAAAGTCAATGTACTTATCAATCCGTCCATTTTTTCTTTGATAATCTCCATATTAGAAAAGTTGCATGAAAATGGAGAATGATTATTCAAACCTTGAATATATTGAATATATATATATATATATATATATATATATATATATATATATATATATAAAGTTAAATAAAAGCTTTTTATTATTTAGCGTTTTTTTATAAAACGGTTGTAATATAAATAATAAATACTAAAGCAGTGCAATTGCTCTCCTTTTCCTTGACATAGGACGTTTACTGGGACTCATTTTTAATCTTGTCTCTTATAACTTATATCACTAACCTAATGTTATACTTAAAAATACGCGTAAACTAAAGAACTTTTAACTTATACCACTAAACTAATAATATATTACTTAACATACACGTAAACTAAATAATTTCAATGTTTTCAAAATAAATAAGAATACTGTAAACTGTAAAAACTAAGCAAGTTGATAAAGAAAATACAAGAATGAAAGAACTAAAATGGATTCTAATTCAAGCGAACTAACTGACCGTACCCATAGAGAAATAAAAATATGACCGTACCGTACGCTCATGTAATTTGACGTCACTAATGCGATAACGATCAAGCTCAGCGACAATGATGAGGAACATGTTTCACTATTAGATTTCAGTATTTTTTAGCAATTTTCTTCAAAGTTTGAATACGCTTTTCTCGATTATTACTGGACACAGAAAGGTGAAAAAAGAATCAACGATTACAGAAAAAAAAACTCTTTCAACTGATGGGCGTGAAAAGTTTGGTTATAATAGAACGTTAAACAGTATAATCCAAAAGTAAGTGGAAATGACAAAAGAAATATTTACGATTATAAGGAGGAAGTTAGAATATCTCGGACACATAATGAGAAACGGCACTAAATACAGTTTACTGAAAATAATCCTAGTAGTAGGCAAAGTATTCGGAAAGCGAGGAATTGGGAGAAGAAGAATATCATAGTAAAAAACCTGAGTTAATGGTTCTTCGCAACAAGAACTAATCTATTTAAAACATCAGGTAATAAAAAAATTATAGCCAGAATGATCGCCATTATTCGAAACAAAATTACTAGACACCAAAAGAAGAAGAAATTACTATAAAAGGCCCACGAAAATAGAAGCAACTCTTTCTTGTCTTGTAATACATTAACCTCGATCGAAAATGAATCATTTGGTCAGCTCTTTTCAATATCTCTTTTGTGCATTGACTTATTTTGTCAGATATTTTATTTTATTTACTACAAAATCTTCCTGCAGTGTCCTTTAGAGCACTTACTGTTAGATTATTTATATTCTCCAGGTCAATGATCTATATGTCTTGAAGGTCGTTCTTCACATATTCTGTGTATTTAAAAGGGGTTTCTGGAAAAGCACCCTTCTGGTTCTGTTTTAATACTTGTTCTATATGGTCTCGTTTTTATAACTTACATGCACTGAGTGAACAAGTCTTCAATTATAGCAATACCGCAGAAATTTATATATAACAGTATATTTAGAGGTCCTAATTATGGCATAAAGTGTTTAACAGAAAAATGGTTCAAACTGAAATAGAAAAAATGAAAGAATTTGAGACTAGTTTACAATATATACTCATTCGAGGAGAAGCCTGTAAATGTCATATGTGACATTTTTGTAATTTATTTCATATTATAAAGAGAAATAAATTTTTTTGCAAAAGGTTAGTGTGAATAAGACGATAAGTGTTGTATGTTTATTGGTACAGAACGAAGAAATTACTGTATGGTATTTATAAGAAAATTGTATACTTATTACAGTATTTTAAAAGAAGAGCTTAACAACTTTCTACCTTAACAACCCTTACAAAGTAAGTTTAGATTAGAAATGCAAAAGAAAAATGTTATTTTTTATCTTGAAGATAAATATGTGCAAATCCTAACACTATTTATTATTCCCGTTGTACTATCTTTCTTTTTTTCATATCATTGTGCCCTTACTTTGCTAATATCTAATAGCTAATTCTAACTGCGAGTTAATGCTGTTAAACCAATACAACTACCAGAACTGCCAGTTGAACTAATTTCTATTAAATGATACTGTTCTTTTCCTGTATCAATTTCAAATTGATACATCAAACAAGATGTATTAGATAAAGCCAAAATTGTTATCCCCATTTTTTCTGTGTTTTTTTTTGGTTGTGCTGCTTGAGAATGCTTCTTCCTTAGAAAGGAACAATTTGTTCATCGATTGATAAAAACTCTTCTTCGATGGGAACTGTCGAGAAACTGTATTTCACTTTAGTGATCAATGGTCTTGTATGAATTATCATAATCTGGCACCCTTTATATGGTTGCGCAGATAGATGTGTCTTTTACTATACAATATGTACTTTAAAATCACTAAAAGGCAAAAGATAGTTTTTTAACTGAAGTTAATTTCGGTGTTACCTAAAGTCAACGCTATGAGATATATGATTTAATACTTCAATCCACACTACATCACAGTTAAGATCTTAGTTTTTTTGAATCGGTTGTGTTCTTATTTTGATTGAATTTTGACAATGTGCCCGTTTTTTGTAAAGAATTTCCAATCTCCGAAAATTTTGAATAACGCTGGGTCCATAACGGTTTCTTAATATGTTCTTGTGGCATTTTAAACTAATTACTATTTTAATGGGAATAAACCACAATTGAAGGTTAATGTAAGTTTATTGACGTTTCAATTTCCACTTGGGACATCATTCTCTAAATTTTGTCCATTTCTTTGAATAACGTAAAAATTTT